TAATTGTTCGTTTCTGCAAAATATAAAAGTGTGCTGCTGTAAAATGAATTAGAATTACAACAGAGGTCAGCATATTGATGGAACAAAAGAATTAACCAGAAGAGTAGCTAACGTCTGTTACAGTAACCAGTACTGTAGTACATTCTAAATCTGAATTCATTCTAAATGTGAGGTTGTGCTTTCATTCTTACTCGCTTGTCCCAAGTGGGGCAGCTGAGAACTCTGATCTTGAGAGAGGCCCAACCATCCTGATGATTTTTATTAATTGGGTTTTTTTTGTTGCATTTTTAAGTTCATAATGCTTATAACTGATTTATAATGCTTAGTGTATTCTTTCATATTATGTTACCATTATTTAAATCTACTATTGTCACTTATTGTCCTATTTTCTGTTGTGAACGCCCAGAGTGGCCTTTGTAGCCAGATGGGCGGTATAGAAAACAAACAAACAATTCCTCTACTATCAAACAAACAAACAAACAAACAATTCCTCTACTACAGAAGTTTCCGCCCTGGGGTTCCCAGGTGTTCTTGGACAGCAACTCCCAGGAGTGTTCACCACTAGCTGTGCTTGCCAGCATTTCTGGGAGTTGTAGCCCAAGAACATTTGGGGACCTAAGGTTGGGAAGCACTGCTCTAGAAACATAACATTATTATATTTGCTGGAATAACACTAGAATCTTTGCACAGTAGATGCTTATGTCTCTCTGTGCAGTCATTGCATGCTCCCTTTTCCAAGCCTTATGGTTAAATCCACTGTTAGTCCTGAAATGAACGTTGGAAACCATCCCATAACTATGACTTCTTGTTAGATATTGCACATACACAGACAGGGTACAGACTGCTCAATCAGGTGCACCAAATCACTGATTATAAGAGAGAGGCAAAAAAGCTGAAATGAACTGATCTACCCATGTCACTCTTGCGAGCCAGGAGGTGAGGCTGAGGAGCCTGATGCCGAGGGAGGCCCGGAAGGAGAAGACAAGAAATCGGGCCTTCTCGGCGGTGGCTCCTCGCCTCTGGAACAACTTACCTCCTGTGATTCGCGGGTCTCCCTCACTGGGTATCTTCAAGAAGCAATTAAAGACATGGCTGTTCCGGCAGGCCTTTCCATCATAAACCTCTTGACCCCCCTCTTCTTCTTGTCTGTCTTACGTATTATGTGATTTAATGTAGTGTTTTTATCTCTTAGAATTGTCTATTTACGTTGTCTTGTATCATTTTTATGGTTGTTAGCCGCCTAGAGTGGTCCTTTCGGACCAGATAGGTGGGGTATAAATCAAGTAAATAAATAAATAAATAAACTGGCTCACGGAAACTGCCATATGTAAGGAATTCATAATAGACACGCATCTCAGATTGTAATAACCTTTCTAGGAACAAAGAAACCCATTTCTGGCTCAAGCAAGTTGCTGATAATGTAACGAAAGGAGTAAAAGTATAGTTAAAGAAATCAGTGTAGTGTAGGTAACATGATAAAGCAATTAGGTGAAAAACTCAATAGTTTCTCCTTGCATGAAATGAATATGGATGAGTTTTCCTTTTGTTCCTGACTTAACATATTAGCTTGCACAAATAAATCTCTCCGCAAAATCCATCTTTTCCATAAGACTTTAGAACAATCTCCTGGATCTGTAACTATACCTGATGTCATGTAAATATGGTCATATTTGTTCCCCATTTACTCATTTTCACTTCCTTCCCTTCCCTTTGTCTTCCTTGAGGCACACGGCAAGTGTATGCCTTTCAGGTTCTTTTCTCTTCTCTGAAAAGCAGCATGCACACAGAACTAGTAATGCCAGTGCTGTGTGGGCAAAGGTTATATTTATGTGAATGTAAGTGTGCTAAGTGAACCAGTACTAAGAAACCTAGAAGAGGAAGGCAAGATGAGGTCTACATTTATTTATTTGTTTATTTGTTTATTTGTTTGTTTGTTTATTTATTTATTTATTTATTTATTTAGCTTATATGCCACCCACACTACCCAAAGGTCTAGTATCACAACATTTTCTTTGTTACAGGTATAAAACTTACAGAAACTTCAATGGGTGTGTCATCAAATTCTTTTGCAATAGCATTTCGGAATGTTTCGTTTCTCTGTTGAAAAGCATCTATAGTATTTTGGAGAGCCTGGAATGAATGAAATGCATAAGGTCTATTAAATAAAACATTTAACAGAATGAAAAGCTAAACCAAGTAAGTTCAAACTGAAATAAATCACTGAAAGATAGATGCAGGTTTGATTACAGTAGTAGTAGTATTCTACAGTCACAAGCTCTAGAAGCTGAATTTGAAAAGAATCACAAAAAAATTGAACAAAATCTAGAGGAGTAGCCATATTAGTGAGAACTAACAAATTTCTTATGGTATATTTAGTAAGAAAGGGACATTTACCTTTATCCATTCTTCTTTGTCTTGTTCAGAACTAAAGGACACAGTTGGAGATAAGAATTAGCAGCAAATTCAGGAAAGATGGATGCAGACATTTAAATTTCAAATGTTTCAGGGCACTCACAACTTTAGAGTTACAATGAAGCCAATTCAAATAGAGGACACTATAATAAAAGACTGAAAATGTCTAATTAAAAGAAAGAAACGGCATCTTGTTTTCAAAACTAATAAATTTCAATTTGACAAGTGTAACATTACATTTAAAATATCATCAGAAATATGTTCTGAAATTATGACAGAACTAGCTTTCTCTTGCTTCATGAGTACATACCAATAAGGAAAGGTAAAATAGTTGTAACGGGAATGGGATCCATAATGGTGCATGTATGCACAAAAATCTCCTCTCAGTATTTAAAACTTGTTCTAATGCTCTTAGTAGAGATCTGTCATGAGTTTTTTTGAACTACAAACCCCATAATTGTCCATTCTGGAAGTCCCATCTGATAGACAAATACCTACAGACACTTGTGTGCGACTTATCTGGGAGAAAGGCCTCAACTGGAAAGTTTTGTGGCCTAGCAGACGTCTAGCTCTTTGTTTTAAAAAGGAAATTGCCCCAGTGCTTTCTGAGAAGTTTTTTAACAGGAAGCTAGGTAAAACTAGGCCTATGCTAGGCCACAAAGCCTTCCAGTTTAGGTCTTTCATAGAATCATAGAAAAGTGAAGTTGGAAGGGGGCTACAAGGCCATCAAGTCCACCCCCCTGCTCAATGCAGGAATACAATCAAAGCACATCTGCTAGGTGGTTATCAAAGTTTTTCTGTGCTTCTGTTTGCAGCCAAATAGGAACCATTTGTTTTGATATAAGGTGAGAAGGGAGAGGAATGCTGAGTGTCTAAAAAGCTATTTGTCTAAAAAGATCAGGATGGACATTCTAATCTGCACTCCCAGAGACAAAATCTGAAACCTGCTACATCTGAAGTGATCCTACAAACTGCTTTAAACCTGGAATATACATCTAGCCATGATTTTGGTGAACTTCTATGAACCTTCTACACAAACATCAACTCTGTAATGTCCAGACAGCCAAAGACTCAAAATATAGTTTCTATTTGTGATACTGTATTTTAGTGGTCTAATAAAGGAATCATCTATATTTGGGTTGTGTAGAAGGACATTACTCCCACTCCTCTTTTGTTATAATCGTGTCAGAAATTCTATGCTTATATAGTCATGCAGATCTACTGTTTGAAAGTCTAAACATCAAGGGTTGCAGAATATTAGCAGGGCAAAAAGCAGCAAACTTGAGACCTGCTTCTAGTTTCCCTTTCATAGATGGAGGTTAACAGTGAAACAGGTTCAAACACTTTGTGAACAGTGACTAGATTATGGTCTTCACTGTTATTCTTTCAGTATGATCCTATTTAAGTCTTGCATAAATGAGGTGAGTTGGAAAAATTATTTCTATCCATGACAGTTCCAAGAGAATTAGAACATGGTAGGGCTGATCCTTGTGAGAGTCACAATGCTCTTTTTCAGGCAGATGTGAAAAGCTGTATAGTTAATCAGATTGCTCTAATCAAACATTAACCTCAATACTTCAAAACTGTTGGAGTAATTGCTATATGGATGCAACAGGAAATAACCTGCTATAAAATGAAATGTATTTTACTAACCACAAATGCTAATGTGCACTCTGGTTGAATCAGAAGGTAAAGTAATACAAGTTCTTCTAGTAAAGTAACTCCTTTGGGCAAGGAAGCTTACATCAGAGCTAATGCACTTTTTAAGGGGATGGTGAAGTTTAATACGTATCATATATTAAAAGTATATGAAAAAGAAGGGAAGGAAAACTGAGGTGGTATATATCTTATATGTATTTATGCTCACTAAAAACCAAGGTATTATCTAACATGAAATGGACCCTACAGAATCACTTCACTCAGGTTCCTACAGCCCACTAAATTAAAACCAACTAACTTGCTAGGATTTTTAACCTACTAATATACAGACTTTATGAAATTCACAACATTAACTGGTTTCGCTATACTGTATTTCCTCAAACCTATATGCAAGATTTTCCTTTTTTTTTTACTTAAAAGCTCCAAGCTGATTTGATGTTTCGTAGAAATGAAATATTCTGAGATTTATTTGTATCTGTGATTTTTTTTTGCAGCATCAGAAACGTCTGAGATAATTCTAACCATCACCTTCCAGTACATCACCTCCACATGGTTTAGACTGGGAAAGACTTCTATCCTTTCCTATGCATTTTTTGTTTAACTCTTCTGCAATGATCATTAACCTGCTACTCTGTACAAAAAAGCTTAATATAAATGGATTTTCCTCTCAGATAATAGTCTATCAAGGTTCGGAATCAAGTACAGTGAATTTGGGCAAGAGTAAGAGAACACATGCATTCCAAGTACAGAAATATTAAGCTGCAAACACCTTTACACCAGTAGGCTAAGATTTTCAAGTCCATCTTTAAATGCCATTATACTAGATGCTAATATCTCAAACTTGTTCTTCTCTTACCTGGCCTGCAATTCCAAAGTTCTCTCCTTCCCAGACACTTGGAATGTATGTGGGTATTCTTCATTGTGTGTTTCCACAATTTTCATACCATCAATGCCAACTCTTGTCCGAACAGTGAACTTAGATCCCACTAAGCTGAACTTGGGGACACAGTACAGCAGCATGTTGTTGAACTGGGGAGGGGGGAATACAGGTCACACTAATCAATATTAGTTGTCACAAGAATAAAGCTGGGTCATCCCACAAAATATCAATTTCCACCGATGTTTTGTAAAAGCCAGACTGTTAGATATTGCAACACAACCTAAAAATCGAATTGTTCAGAAAGGTGGCATAGGAGCTGAGTCTGTTACCAGTGATTGTGTCATTATGACTATCCCAGGACATTTACTCAGCCGTGTGCCACATAATAATCATAGGAGACAATATTCTCTTGCAGAGTTCCACCAAAGTACCAGGAATGATGTCAGAGGCAGTGGCACAATGCTGCCAATTAAAGCATTCTTTGTCCAGTTTGAGGGCCCCATGACTTTGTCTCACTGCATGCAAATCAGTTCTCTTAATTTAAAGACAATTTGCCATTACTGGTGATATCATTCCCTGTTATGCTGGTGTAGCTCCACAAAAATACAGTGGCCAGTTTAATAGATGTTGTTATCTGGAGAAAATACTACACTTTCCAATATACTAAAAAGGAATATATAGGGCTAATTAAAGGTTGCACACAAATCCAAACTGCTAGAGCAAAAGTATGTTTTTCTTTCTTTCTTTTTAAAACAGAAAAGTTACCTGCATTTGAAACCTTGGCAGGGGAGGATGGATTGACTTGAAGTACAGAGATGGTTGGGTACTCCCTTCCACAGCCTCTAGGCCAGTGGTTCCCAATCTTGGCTGACCCAGGTGATCTTGGTCTGCAGTTCTCAGAAGCCTTCACCACTAGCAGTGCTGGCCAGGGTTTCTGGGAGTTGCAGTCCAAGAACACCTGGGTTACCAAAGGCTAGGCCAGTGGTTCTTAACCTTTGTTACTTGGATGTTTTTGAACTGCAACTCCCAGAAACCCCAGCCAGCACAGTTGGTGGTGAAGGCTTCTGGGAGTTGCAGTCCAAAACTCCTGAGTAACCCAAGGTTAAGAACCAGTGGGCTAGGCTATCGTCAGTCATAAGGCCGCCGCCACCACCACCACCACCATCATCATAATCACAACAACAATAATAGTCATCATGTGCTAGCAGTGCTCACTAGACACTTCAGTTTGCAATGTTCCCTCTAACCAGCACTAGGTAGGGGCCCTGCCCCACACACGCAGGGTTCCAGCGGCAACCAGAACCAAATGGGCAGAAACACTGGCTGCGGGTGTGTGGCACCAATCCAGCACTGCATGACTGTGCACTGCACAGCTTAGAGAGAACATTGCCTACAAATAAAGGTAAACTCACACAATCACAGAGGCCAGTATCTTATTCGCACTGATGTAATGTAAAGATGTTGTTTAGTTGTTGTGTCCAACTCTTCGTGACCCCATGGACCAGAGCACACCAGGCCCTCCTGTCTTCCAGTGCCTCCTGGAGTTGGGTCAAATTCATGTTAGGAGCTTTGATAACACTGTCCAACCATCCTGTCCTCTGTCGTCCCCATCTTCTCTTGCCTTCACGCTTTCCCAACATCAGGGTCTTTTCCAGGAATTCTTCTCTTCTCACGAGATGGCCAAAGTATTGAAACCTCAGCTTCAGGATCTGTCCTTCCAGTGAGCACTCAGGGTTGATTTCCTTCAAGAATGGATAGGTTTGATCTCCTTGCAGTCCAGGGGACTCTCAAGAGTTTTCTCCAGCACCACAATTCAAACGCATCAGTTCTTCGGCGGTCTGCCTTTTTTATGATCCAGCTCTCACTTCCATACATCACACTGTTGAACTGGGGGAGAGGGAGGTAAATACAGAGGGAGGTGAAGCTACTGGAAAAAACATAGCTTTGCCTATGCAGACTTTTGTCGGTCGGGTGATGTCTCTGCTTTTTAAGGTGCTGTCAAGGTTTGTCATCGCCTTCCTCCCAAGAAGCAGGCGTCTTTTAATTTCGGGACTGCTGTCTCCATCTGCAGTGATCATGGAGCCCAAGAAAGTAAAATCTGTCACTACATCCATATCTGCCCCTTCTATTTGCCAGGAGGTGATGGGGTCAGTGGCCATGATCTTAGTTTTTTTCATGTTGAACTTCAGATCATTTGTTGCACTCTCCTCTTTCACCCTCATTACAAGGTTCCTTAATTCCTCCTCACATTCTGTCATCAGAGTGGTATCATCTGCATATCGGAGGGTGTTGATATTTCTTCCGGCAATCTTAATTCCGGCTTGGGATTCCTCCAGTCCAGCCTTTAGCATGATGTATTCTGCAGATAAGTTAAATAAGCAGGGGAACAATATACAGCCTTGTTGTACTCCTTTCCCAATTTTGAACAAATCAGTGTTTCCATATCCAGTTCTAACTGTTGCTTCCTGTCCCACGTATAAGTTTCTCAGGAGATAGATAAGTGGGGAGGCACTCCCATTTCTTTAAGAACTTGCCATAGTTTGCTGCGGTCCACAGAGTCAAAGCTTTTGTGTAATCAATGAAGCAGACGTAGATATTTTTCTGGAACTCTCTGGCTTCTCCATGATCCAGCGCATGTTAGCAATTTGGTCCCTAGTTCCTCTGTAAAGTTACACGAACATAAATGCGCCAGGTTATACCTGACAATAAGAGATTGTGCCATGTGCACTGGCAGAAATAGTTTGGGGACTGCACTTGTGCTCAGCCATTTGCACAACTACCACAGCTGCACCCTCACATTGCACATGTGTAGTTAGTTGGGCAACCAGATTTGCCAATAAATGGGCAACTTTGAAGGCAAGCATGAGGAATGTGAAAAACAGATGGAATAAATGAATCTTTGGTGCACCAAATATCTACTATGCGGAAAGTCTATTAAAATCCAAACTACCTTGGATTTCAAACATACCAAATTAACATTTGGTTGATCACTGTCCCATCACCTCATGTGGAACCATAATGATTGGGGGTGTGGGTTGCATTTTTAAATGTGATGGTACTTTCAAAAGATACGGACAGCAGTTTTTGGAAAGACTATTTGTATTACTAGATGTAGGTGGGTTAAATACAAAATGCAACATGGTGGAAATAATGGATGCTGCCACCATTATTTCCATTCTTCCACAAGTCATCTAGTCATCTATGGTAATGAACAATGCATTTCCACACATTCATGCTATAAAAAAGAACTTTTCATATGCAGTACTTTTCCATAGGGACACATAGCAATTGCTGACTTGTTTTTTTAGAAATCTAATCTGTCCAAAGTTCAATAACTGCAAAAGAAAATCCAGGGCTGAAAGACTTACAGCAAGCTATTGCACATGATTCTTAATATCTATATGGCTATAAATTCAACTACTTTTAAATTAAGAAGTAGCTTAGGGATGGGTTTATCAAGGGCAAACGTCCAGTGTCTCTTATCTGTCATAACTGATTTATTTTTGACAATTCAGTGAACATTCTCTTAAAGATGTCTCGCAGAATTTGAATATATAATTATTTTATTTATTTATTTATTCACCTTCTATGATACCCATCTGGCTTCAAGCTCACTCTGGGTGGTTTACAACACATTAAAACAGCAACACTTTAAAAATACAGAACACAGTTGTTATACAGAAATCAAAATAAAAAATCAAAATTACAATATACAATCACAAATACTAAAACACATGGACACTCATGGAGATATACATATAAATTATGAGGCTGGGGTAAATGTTGGTTATGTGTTACATTTCAGAATTCTTTCCTACTTCTTGGATTAACATATAAAACAGATTTCAATCTGATGCTTGCCAGAATTAAAATTATTACTGAACTTGTCATTAATGATTAAACATACCGGCTGCTCATTTACATGCCATTTCATGAAGGCATAACTATTCCATGAAGATAATTTAAGAATTCTGATATTCAGTTGTTATAATGTCTTGCAGCTTTGCTTCTTATCTCTGGAATGCACTATAAAATGGCCTTATACAAGTAGGAAGGAATAATTATGGATTACGTTAAGAAGAGATTAAATGTATACAAGGATTCTCCAGGATCACTTTGATGATTTAAGCCACATCTGTGTCATCTGAAGCTTTCATGGAGCATACAGTAAGTGAACTTTTTTCATTCCAGCTTTAAACACACAACCCATACCCATTTGAATGGAAGAAACAAATACAGTTTTTACAAAAAAGATTGGAATACAAATATAGAATATAGAGTAGTATACTTTATTATGCCTATGGGGAGAAAAACCTGCCATTAACTGGCTAGAGAATTGAGGTTGGAATAAAATTGAAGACAAAAAAATCTTCATGCCTCTTTGGCAAAGGAAACTTCTTAACATTGGCTTTTGATTCTTACTGCTCATTCAGAACAAAGGGCAACATGTAAAAAGGATAAACAAGCAAACATATGGCTCCAGCATAGAATGCTAAAGAGAAAACATACTGAAATACAACAATACCTCCTTGCAATTAGTCTGCAATTATACGTCAGCCCCCTTTACCTTAGTACAAATTCCACCCTCCCTCATATGTCTTGCCATTGGCTTAGTGTTAATATCTGTCCACACTGGTCTCATTACCATTACTTCTGATTTGAAAGCAGGTTTCAAGTACTTTACTAGCCCTGGATAAGAAGGCATCTAGTTGGCACTAAATCCATTAATTCTAAAGTGCCACTAAACAATGTTTAAAGCCAATAAGGAACAGATAAAGACAAGCTGCACCAGAAAGTAAAGGAGAGAGTGTGAACTTGGAAACACTGGCCAAGATTCAACAGTGTATTTTGGTATCCAACACCAGAAGAACAGGGACTTCTTATTCTCCCTCTGATTCCTGCAGCCTACTGCCAAAAAACCCACACTGAAGCATTTCAAAAATGTAGATATGGCTACGATAAGAAAACAATACTTACTAAAAAAAGGTATCGTTCTTGAGCAGATGTATTACGAGCAGCAAGTTTAAGTATCTGTCCTTCTTTTATAAGCTCATTTGAAGGATTCACAATATCTTCTTCTTCTCCTAACATTTCATAAACCTCCAACAACTTCTTCAAATTTTCCTTTTCCATCAAAACAAAAAACATGAAAGAATTAGTGGAGGTCACTGCGACTGTTCCTATGCAAATAATTTAAAGGGCTCTATAAACTAAAGCATGAGCATGTTTTTAATAAGAACTGTTTCATATTGAAGTGGCTAATGATGCTAGGCAACTAATTGCAACAGAATGACTTTCCTAGAATACAAACCATGCCTCCCCCACAAATATTTTTTAATAATATGCCTACAGATATATGCAGTTTCAAATGGATCAAATTAATGTTTCAAAGATAAAAGTTTGTTTCAGTTAACTGGCAGCCCTGCTTGACAACATGTATTGCAACACTATTAGAATTCTCTTAAAAGATGAGAAAATTATATTAGGAAAAGCTAATATAATGGCTTAACAATAGCTGTATTTTCTACTTGTTCACTAAATTGCTTTTTAATTATCTAATGAAAACAAAAACAAGAATTTGAAATGTAAATTACATAAAAGAGAAAATCCCCCAGAAGTCACTCACCATTTTTCGGATGGCACTATTGGAATGACTTGCTGCTGTGGATATTATTTCTAAGGATTCTGTAAGAGAAAGAAATAATAGAAACGAGATAAACTGCTGATTCTACAATGCACAAATTGCTATTTTACACACAATGGTAAAGCAAAAAAGCAAGGTTTATTCCAGTGAGTTTTCTCAAAATCAGGGCTCGTCCACATGGGTCCTTTTGTAGTGAGCTTGTGTCAGCTAAGTAGGGCCGGCCTGGGATAGGTTAGAGGTGTGATCTGTCATTAGGTGTAATCCTCACATCCAAATAGCTTATCAGAGCTCGAGCGACCCTATTTGGTCTGGCTCCTTCCAGTCTGAATTTCTGATAGGAAGTGGCACAATAAGTGAGTGGGTAGATCATCACTGATGTGCTACATCACTTATAAATGTTTCTCTTTGCCTTGTCTTAAAGGATTCAAATGCAGGCAATTTTTGACCAGCTCTTCAGATAAGGCAAAAACAATAAATATACATGCTTATGTTTTTAGGAAGTGATGGAGCACATCAATAATGTCTACTACTCGTTTTTAAAAAATCACTTCCTCTGTTCCTCCACCAAAGACATGTTAGGTTGCTGATATCCCGAAGTGGGTTGCTTACTAAGCCACTTCACAATATTGTAAATTCAAACTGGAAAGAGCCTTGATAGCCAGAAGGCTTGTATTTGGTCTGTTCCTAGCTATCACACACAATGGAAATGGACCAAACTAGAGTGATCCTATCCACCCCAAAAAAAGCAGAAGGCCCTGTCAGGGGCTCAGAATGGTGGGGTTAGGAACGATCTTGGGATGATTTGGTTCACTCTAGTGATTATATCATGTAATCGCTGGGAAAAGGAACAAACAAACCCACCCCAGCAGCAAACCAAACAGCTGGCTAAATGCCTGTCTGATCGCACCCTTACTTGAACCTAAAGTCAAGTAGAGAAAGATAAACTTGGGAAAATAAGGGCTTCACATAGTTGATCAGATGAACATACATGGGTGAGGTAAAATATATTTGATCAAAACATAAATCAAGTTTATGGCAGAATACTACGTTAGCTCCAGAAATTACATTCTCAGTAATCACTTCAACTTTTCATCTGCTGGTCTAGATACTTGAAAATAACAACTGTATTCATATGTACAAAGAATTCAAAAAAAATCACTGCATATCCTGCTTTACCCATGTATAGAAACAAAAATATTTTTGAAAGTCAGTTAAGAGTTTCAGAAAAAAACCAAAGTCTATTAGGAAATATGGGCTCTTGAACAACACTAGATTGCTGTGCCAGGAGTATTTTTGTTCTGTTTACAATTCACCTTAATATTTAAATATTCACAAAAGCCTATTATAAATAATTGTGGAATAGATAATGGAATTATAGTACCATGAAGTATTCTGAAAAAGTATATAGCTGATATACTCAGGAAAACAAAAATAGGAGAAGAATATATACAGTGATTTTTTAAAAAGGGGGGAAGAGGCTAAGTGTTTAAAATTTTGCAGTCTTTTTGCAGTTTAATCCTAACAAAAAAATAGATCATGGTTGAATGTATACAACTACATAAGAAAAGCTCTGAATGATCACACAAATGATCTATTCAGTCCCGCATCCTACTTTCTGCAGAGGCCAACTAGTCACCTCTGGGAAGTCCACAAACATGAGCAGAAGGCAACAGTCATCTTCTGTATTATCTCTTCCAGAAGCTGGTAATCAAAGATAGAGCCACTGAATCGGGACAGTATTTACAGCTATCATGTCTAGCATCCGCTAATATGACATTGCACAGTGAAACAGTTCTGCACCCAGAGTGTTCTGCATTTATTGATTGATTGATTGATTGATTTGATTTGATTTGATTTGTATCCCGTCCACTGGAAATCTCTGGCTTGAAGTTATGCAACCTGGAGAACACCCTGTGGAAACACTCTGTGGAAAGAACAGGGCTTTCTGCTTGTGGAAGGCTGGTACAGTCCCTCCTTGCGCCAGTGACTGCAAAAGAGGGGCTACACAGAAAGGACCATTCATTTGCCACAAGAACCGAAGAGGCTAAATTTCTCCTGTTGTGAAGAAGTGTATTCTTTTGCTCTGGGTATCTTGAGAATTAATTCTGATTAATTAATTCTCTTAATTAAAATAGTGTTTTAAAGAAATATTTTATTGCTGCAAAGAACAACATGTTTGGAAAAGCAGTTCTTGTGAAGTTCATTGCCCCTTACGTAGTTCTGAATTGTTAAGCAGTTGCTCTCTTTCAACTGTATTGAGACACCAGAGACAGAACCCACACAAATATATTTACTTTCGGCATCCTTCCAGTCTACAGAGTCCTGAGGCAATTTTCTTAGGTAGTCCTTCAGAAGCATCTCATACCGGGGAATGCGTTGTACAGGTTCTAGCATGTGGTGTTGCAAGGTCAAGTTTCCACAAATTTTCTGTTTCTGAAAAATGAAAAAACATTTGTTGATACTGGAACTTCAGAAATGGACTTTTTATATTGTTATACATGCTGCTTAGTGAAAGAAAATTTGTAACTTTCTGTTTGTTCCTAAATGCAAATAAAGATTGCCAGGTGAATATTCTTACACTAAGCAACAGGATTTCAGCCTATGTTTGTTAAAGTAAAAGATTTTAATAAAGCTAATATTGTAACAATTCTATGTAGCAAAACCTACAAGTAAACACAATCTATTTCAGCTGAGAATTTTATTTACTATTCCAAAGGCTTTTGTTATTTCATAACAACAATAATAATGTACTCCTTTTTATTAGACATTGAAAATTTCACAGTGTTCATAGTTCTCACACATTAGTTTAGTTATCTAGAATGCTGTATACAAAGGTATATAAAAGGAAAAAACCACAGCAGTTTAAAGCTATATTGAGAATACTGTACTGTTTTGATACACAAACATTAATTTATTTATAAGAGAAAGAATTCTCTTATACATAAATGTAAAAGTATCACTTAATGACAGTTCTTACTGGTATAAAAAGAAACACAAAAGGTGCAATTTAGCATTAGCTTCAGCTTAGCTTCTTCATCTCAACCTTTGCAACTAAATGTTACTTCTTTTATGTTTCCAATCAGATTTAAGAATTATTGGTAAAATATCAACACTTTTCACATTTCTGACGTGTGCATGTTGTTTACTCAAAGAGATGACAAGTATACTCATCTCCCTCAGCTCCACTTTATATATACTGTAACAGAAACATCTTTTTAAAAGGGAAAATACCCACTCAGACTTCTCCAGTAATATAATGAAGTCAGCTTGCTGAAAACAGCAATTCACAGAAAACTCAATATGGGTACCTGAAGAAGCAACATTATGTGCTACCCATCAACTTCCACAACAACCTCCTGGGTTTTTTTGTTTATTTGTTTTTGTTTTGTTTTGTTTTTTGCTTTTTAAATGAGTATCATACAATCCCTGCAATGTTCAGTTTAAGTCAGAGAACATAAGAAAGTGTGGTGCAAGCAGGGACAGGAAAAAACAGGGACGGGAAAATAGAACATAGCACATGATCAAAAAGCTCAAACATGGAGCTGCATGTTCACTGTCTAGTTTTTCACAACAGACTTCAGATAAAACAGTGAAATAAAACGATACAGAAGCTGATTTGATTGCCAAGTTATCCATCCTCTCTGTCTCTTGTACACACACCCCTCTACCTGGATATCGTGAATAATGGATTTGAAGAGAGGTGATCGTTCGGTCCATGTTTTCACTAGTTCCATTGCATTGTCAAAATTCTTCACATACTCTCCATACATCTTGAGGAATGGGGCTAATTTCTGCAAGATATCGCTGATCCTGGGGTTTGTGTCCCTGAATAAAAAAAGAATATAAGTATTGTAATGGGCATTTGACAAAGACATATATACTACCAGTCAATATTTATTTTCGTTTTCTTATTTTTATCAATTATTTGTATTTTTCATTTGTATTTTGACTTACTTTGTCCTGGCTTTAATAACTAACTTCCTTGTTTTAACTACATTAAGTATTCTAAAGAAAGAACACCACCAAACCTCAGCAAAGGATTGGAAACTGCACCATGTGACCACTACAAATTTCCTTAACAAAACTGTACAAGTGACTGAAAGGCAGAATGCTTCCAAATAGGGTGTCCTAGTGTTACAAATTAAAAGGCACCTGGATTTTTTTAAACAACTTTATATTATAGTGCATGAGCAAAGGCCTTTAGAATGTTGTCGTTATGTGCTGTCAAGTCACCTCCAAGTTATAGCAAATGAGCAATCTCCAAAATGTTCTGTCCTCAACTGCCCTGCTCAGCTCTTGTAAACTCAGGCCTATGGGTTCCTTTAGGGAGTAAGTTCATCTCGTATTTGGTTTTCCTCTTTTTCCTGCTACCTTCCATCTTTCCCAGGGTAATTGTCTTTGCTAGAGAATCCTGCCTTCTTATGATGTGTCCAAAGTAGAACAGCCTCAGCATAAACATTTTTGCCTCCAGTGATAGTTCAGGCTTGATTTGATCTAGAACCCATTTTATCTAGGACCCACTTGCTTGTCTTTCCAATAGTCTGTGGTATCAGCAAAGCTCTCCTCCAGCACCATATTTCAAACACAACCGTTTTTTGGCTGTCAACCTCCTTTCCTGTCCAGCTTTCAAATCCATACATGATAAAAAATGTAAAGGTTCTCCTTGACAATTTGTCCAGTCGTGTCCGACTCTAGGCGGCGGTGCTCATCTCTGTTTCCAGCCCATAGAGCTAGCGTTTGTCCGCAGAAAATGCTCTGTGGTCACGTGGCCAGCGTGACTAGACACGGAACACCATTTACCTTCCCACCGAGGTGGTACATATTTATCTACTCGCATGTTTGCATTTTGCATGCTTTCGAACCGCTAATCGGAAATAAAAGTGCATGGATGGTTTGATTTCCAGTGATACATCCTTAAACATTCATCTTTATCGTTGTCGTCTAGTCATTTAGTCATGTCCGACTCTTCGTGACCTCATGAACCAGAGCACACCAGGCCCTCCTATCTTCCACTGCCTCCCGGAGTTCTGTCAGTTTCATGTTGGTTGCTTTGCAGACACTGTCCAGCCATCTCATCCTCTGTCGTCCCCTTCTCCTCTTGCCATCACACTTTCCTAACATCAAGGTCTTTTCCAAGGAGTCTTCTC